AAAAAAAAATAATTAAAGTCTCAGGAACCCAAAGAGACAATTTCTGCCTTATTCAATAATATCGCGATGAGTCACACTATGAGTTGTTTCTTTTACAGTAGTTTGTCAGGAGCCACAGCCGCTCCATGGAAGAAAGAAGGGGCTTTCTGCTCCTATAAAGAGTTACAGTCTAGAAAACCCACAGGGCCAGTCTTCCCTGTCTCTTGACCTCTTCTGTAAACTTGTACCCCATTGAGGGGCAGTAGGGCCCAGAACACACAGCTGGCCTCCCTACTATTCTTACCTAATCTCACCTCCTTATGGTAAGAATAACAAGTTTTCAGTACTACTCACCATTTCCTTGGTCCAGCTTCCAGAAGTTTAAGTAGAAACTCCTCTGAGCCCCAGAAGGCACTTAAGGAAGAGCGATCAGAGTGGAAACAGAGCCACCAGGAGGTCTGAAGGTAAACGAATAATGGTTGGTCAACGCAGCCAGTCAGAGCAGTTGAAATCCTTTCTTGTGATTGCAGGGTGGTGCAAGATGGTCACTGTAGGTCCCCTGTGCCACACCTGTGACCTAACGTGAAAGAAGGATGAGGAGGAGACAGTGTTAGGGAAGGAACGACAGAGTCTTGGCCTTCTGCTGAGTCCCTGAACAGGACTTTCAGTCTCAGAACAATGCTCCACCAGAAGTGTTTTCACTTTTAAGACAGAAAAGGATCTGAACACACACTTGCTGTAGATTTCTTTTAAAGTACTGTTTATGCTTGTGTTTTTCAGCACATTTTTAATGCAGTTTTTGTGGTAAAATTAGGTGCCTCGGCTGATATTCAGGTCGGCTTATACTCGAGTATATACAATAAACTGGTTATCGAATGAAGGAAAAAACTAACAGCCATTGTGAAAATTTCAGTGAATTATAAACTAAAAAAGAGACCATACTAATTATATTGGAGTTAGCAATCATTTCTGAAACAAGATAAGCCAAGTTTTTGAAATGATATACAGCTTTAAATTTTTAAAAAATATATCAGCTTTGCCTAGACTCTTTAGTCTGTTAATCTTTCTTTCTTTTGCTCTAAGTAAAAGGATTATCATTTTGAGTCTACATTCAACATTACTGCCTTCACTCTACATTCTTATATTTTTTTAAGAAGGAAACACATTCTCTAGTCCAACGATAGATGATGTACACAGGATCATGTTTAAAATTGTTTGTTAAAATCATGACTTTTTATGAGTTGTGCATTTATTTACCCCAGGGTATCTTGTTCAATAGCAACCCTGCTGACACAATGGAGAAATGCGCCACTAATCAAAAGGCTGGGCATTCAAAACTATAGTCTAGCACCTTCACAGGAGGAGAAAAAACTGCTCCGCTGTAAACACTTAAACACACAAACCAAAACCCACTGCCAAGGAGACCATTCTAATTCAGAGCAAGCCTGGAAGGCAGATTGGACCTGCCCCAGAGGGTTTCCCATCTCAGAGGTGCTGGTGAGCTCAAGCCATCTACCTTTTCAATTCGCAGTCAAGTGCTTAACCACCGAGATACCAGGAGATTTTATGGGGCACTTCCACTCTGTCGGATAGGGTCATCATGAGTCAGTACCAACTCAATTGCTGTAGATATGACTTCGTATTTTTTAGACGGTACTCAACTACTAGCTGAAAGGCTGGCAGACCAAACCCATCCACCGGTGCTTTGGAAGACAGACCTAGTGATCTACATCCAGAAGCCCGGTCTTCAAATACCTGTTTCTTATGGAGCAAGTTCTCCCCTGTAGACATGAAACCTCCCTGTGTAGAGGAATGAACCCTAAGGCGATGACAATTGTTACCACCCCCCCACCAAAAAAAAACCCCAAACCCTACAATAATTACTATAAAAGAATAGTTTGCTGGGTTTTTTTTTTGAGTGGGGCGGTGTTGTGTTTTCATCACTTGGAAATAGTTGAGCCTCAAAGAATCTCTTTAAAAATTCTGGTTATATGCACTGCATTGAATGCAATTTTCCCTCACTCCCAGTATTTCCTGTTCAGATACTGGGATTATGCACAGCTTTTGCTCAAAGGCGCTTTCAACCTATAAGGAAGTGTGGCTCTTTGGGAGCAGAAACTGTGAGTGAATTACCCCAGCATCCAGACCTACAGATTGTCTCACACGAACTTTATGGTCTTGGGAAAACCCTGTGTATTGATTTCTATAAAGCTCTTTAGCTTGTTTTGACACAGCCTATTTTACATCAAACTCCGGCTGGCCTTATTTTCTCTCACAAAATCAGGGCAAAACCATCTGTCTTAGAAAGTTTTTGTCACTTGTAAAATATCTTCCTTTTGAATTCGTGATGGTTATGGTCCTAAACTGAGACCTAACCATGGTGCTAGTTTCAGCCCCTGCTCCTTAATTCACCCGTCTCATCTGCTCTTGAGTTGGAAGCAACTTGAGGGCAGTCAGTTTGGTTTCTTGGTTTCAAGTAAGGTCAGCGGTTCGAAACCACGAGCCACTCCGCAGGGCAAAGACCAGGCTTCCTACTTCCGTTAAGGGTTACAGCGTCAGCATTATTGCCCTATCCTAGAGGGCCCCTGTGAGTCAGAATGACCAGACGGCAGTGTTTGGTTTTTGTGGCCCTATCACTATTAACGGGATTGGGTAGGGGAGATAATCCCCACAATATTACTGTTTGCCCCCGCCTTGAGGAAGAAAAGAGATTAAAAGGGGAACATTGGGAACGGCAGACTGGAGCTATAGGTATTTAGGCTCAGCCGGGCTGCTCCCGGCTTCCTGAGGCCCGTGACGCCTCCACCGAGCTCACCAACTCCGACACGAAGCTGTCGCCGCTGGCCTTGGGGCCACACTTGAGCTGGACGAGGATTTTTACCGTTTACCGGTTCGAGCACCGAGCGACCCAGCCCCAGCCCACCTATTCCGTCTTCCCGAACCCGCTCCTGCGGGCCGCAGCTGCGCTCCCAGGTGAGGGAGCGTGTGGAGCGGCCGGGCGGCAGCGCCCAGCGCCCGGGCCGGCCCTGGCACAGCAGCCCCGGGGGCGGAGAGGCCAGCGGCGAGCCGGACAGACGCCCTCAAACCCCAGCAGGTCCGCCACCCCGCGCGGGCCCCCACACCGGGGCCAGGCAGGACGCACACAGCAACCAAACCCACCTGAAACCCGACCAGGTCCCGCGACCAAATAAGTCCCCTGGCCGCGGCCATGCACTTCCGCTTCCGGCTTCTGGCCCCTCCCCGTGTAGGGGAGGGGCCGCGTGCACGGACTCGGAGCGCGCCACCTATTGATCCGGAGATTCAGCGATCCCCAGGGATGGGGCTCTGTTCCCGGTTTTTCTGGGTCACACAAAATTTCTGCCTTTGACCGGAGGTAGTCTTACCACTTTTCTATTGCTCCTCGTAGTGGAAAATGTCGAGTTCTATATACACACACACACACATATTCAAATATATATATATTTGTATATGGTATTGTGAGGATCGGGCAGTACCAAGCAACCAAGCAGCATTTTGTTTTATTGTGCATAGAGCCACTCGAGGTCACCTAACAGAAACAACATTCTTTTGACACAAAAGTTTAAAAATAAAGCAAATCCCATTGTATAGCAGATGGACGGTGGAAAAGTTGATCGATTGTATATACCTGTGAAGTTGTTGGTGCCTGCCCTCTAGCTCATGTAACTTCCCACTAGAAGCAACTGTATGCACAAGAGGAAACACTGCCTGGTCCTGCACTCTCCTCACAAGGGTTGCTATGTTTGAGCCCATTGTTGAAGCCACTGTGTCTTTTGAGGGCCTTCGTCTTTCTCACTGACCTTCTATTTTCTTAAGTATGATGTCTTTCTCCGAGGGCCATTTCTTCCTGTTTCCATGTCCAAAGTACATGAGACAAAGTTTCACCATCCAAACTTCTAAGGAACATTCTGACTATACTTCTCCAAGACATATTTGGTTGTTCTTCTGGCAGTGCCTGGTACTTTCAATACTATAATTCAAATGCATCAATTCTTCCTGACCTTTCTTATTCTTTGTCCAGCTTTCATATGCATACAAAGCAATGGAAGATACCATGGCTTGGATCAGAGGCACCATATGCCTCCAAAGCCTTTGCCTTAAAGATTATATATATATATATAATCACAGATTTTCCCAATGCATGCATCATTTTATTTGATGACTGCTGCTCCCAAGGGTGTTCCTTGTGGATCAGAGGCACCATATGCCTCCAAAGCCTTTGCCTTAAAGATTATATATATATCACAGATTTTCCCAATGCATGCATCATTTTATTTGATGACTGCTGCTCCCAAGGGTGTTCCTTGTGGATTCAAGTAAAACGAAATCCTTGTTTTCTCCATTTATCATGATGCTGTCTATTGCTCTGTGAGGATGTTGTGCTGTAATCCACACTGGTCTTCACCGTCAAATACTTCAATTCCTCCTCACTCTCAATAAGCAAGGTTGTTTCATGTGCACATTTCAGGTTGTTAATGAACCTTCCATCGACCTTGATGCTGCATTCTTCTTCATGTGGTTCAGCTTTTTTGATTATTTGCTTAGTACCAAGATTGAGTAAGTATAGTGAAAAGATAACAGCCGTAAGACATAACTTTACTGATTTTAAACCACATGGTATCCCATTGTTCTGTTGAATGACTGCCTCTCGGTCAATGCACAGCTTCCTCATGGGCTCAATCAAGTGTTCTGGAATTCCCATTCTTCACAATTTGTTACTTATAATTTCTTAGGATCTACACAGTTGAATGCCCTAGCATAATCAATAAAAGTTCTAGGGAAAAAAGGGACCCCACATTAAAACATCTATAGAGAGTCATTTATTAAATCTTAAGCAGGAGAAAGACAAAACAAAGTCAAATCCTCCACAATGAGGGAGAGCAGCCTAATGAAAGTAATGGTCATAATAGTGTCCAAGGATTCACAGTCATGTAGGTAGTTAAATAGGTCATGGAACACAAAGGAAACTGTCACAGAATCATAATGTGTGACAGATCCATTCATCAGAATTTCAGAAGGAACTACAGAAGCAGAAGAGACTGTGATTGGAATACATACACTATTGTATATAAGAAAAGCATAAAATAAGGGTTCAGGGTCATCAGGGTACCTTAATGGGGTATGACTCATGACTATATAGCCCAAGAACCCTACTTTCCATCAAGGGCACACTCAGGTAATTTCAAAATATTGAGGTTTCCCCTCTCAAGGCCTGACAAGGGGCAAACTCACTCTGCTTGATGGTACCCTTCTCCTTGGGACATTAAAAACCTTTTATTTTGGAAAAAAAAAAAAATATATATATATATATATATATGTAGAAAGATGACTCTAATGAAGTGCCATTTATGGCTGTAAGTTTGAGTTTTTATGAACCTATCCTACCACTTTTCTGTCAATTTGTCATATTGTGAAGGCTTGTACAACTTGACTGTGATACTGGAAGCTATGCCTTTGGTATTTAAAACACCAATAGGATCACTCAGCATGAAGAGGTGTCAGTGGAGCTTCCAGACTAAAAACAGAATACAAAGGAGGAGTAGGCTGTCCACTTCTGAGGGATTAATCACTGAAAAAACCTTGTAATAGCAGCAGAACTTTGTCATATATAATCCAGAAGATATGCCTCTCAGTTTGGAAGGCTCTCAAAATGTGTCTGAGGAACAGCTGACTTCTCAAAGTAAAGCCCACCATAATGACGTGGATGGAGTACATCTTTCACGGCTTTCGCTTGCTGATGGGGCGTGATTCAAACTAGGAAGAAGCAGCTGTAAACATCCATTAATAATCCAAATATGGAATATATGAAATATGAATCTAGAAAAATTGGAAATAATAAAAAATGAAATGGAAGACATAAAGATCTATATCTCCGGCATTAGTGAGCTGAAATGAACTGACCACTTTGAATCAGACATTTATATGGTTTACTATGCCAGGAATAACATATTGAAGAAAAATGGGGTTATATTCATCTTCAGAAAGAACATTTCAAGATCGACCTTGAAGTACAATGTGGTCTGTGATAGGATAATATCTATATGCCTACAAGGGGATCCAGTTAGTCTAACTATTATTTGAATTTACCCATGAATGTCTAAAGGTAGTGAGGAAAACATGAAGAATTCTACTAAATTCTTCAGTCTGAAATCGGTCAAGTATGCAATCAAGATGTACTGATAATTACTAATGATTGTAATGCAATAGTTGGTAACACAGAGAAGGAAATAACAATTGGAAAATATGGCCTTGGTGATAGAAAGGAAGCTAGAGACTACACAGTAGGATTTTACAAGCCCAGTAGCTTCTTCATTACCAATACCTTTTATAACAAAAAAAAAGTGGGCAGAGTACATGGACCTCACCAGTTGGAATATGCAGGTATCAAATTGACCATATCTGTGGAAAGAGATGATGGAGAAGCTCAATATCAGCAGCCAAAAATCAAGGTAAGGGGCACTGTGGAACTCATACATAGCTCAAGTTAAAGCTAAAGAAAATTAGAACAAGTCCATGAGGGCCAAAATAAAACCTTCAGTGCATCCCACCAGAATTCTGAGACTATCTCAAGAACATTGAATAATAACATCGATTTGTTGAATAATTGAATTTGTTGAATAATAATGACAAGAAGATGACTTTTGTGTAACGACATTAAGAATATCATACATGAAGAAAGCAAAAGGTCATTAAAAAGACAAGAAAGAAAGACGAAAGTGGATATCAGAAGAGACTCTGAAAGTTGCTCTTGAACACAAAGTAAGTAAAGTAAATGGAAGAAATGATGAAATGAAAAGAGCTAAACAGAAAATCTTAAAAGGCAGACTGAGAAGACAAAGTAAAATATAATGAAATGTGCGAAGATCTGGAGTTAGAAAGCCAAAAGCAATAACTTAGCATATCTCAAGTTAAAAGAACTGAGTTCTACTTTTTAACCAAACATTTGAATATAATTCATACTAGCTCTTCACTACTGCATAAAATGTAAAACCGTTTTTCAATATCCAATTAAATGTTTATTATTTCCTTCAAATAGCTCAAATCAGAAAACTATTCTATTAACCTAGAAATAAAGCCTTTTTGTTTTAAGTCCCTGAATACTTATAGCACCATAGCAAACTCAGGCAGTTTGTCCAATGGAATCTGCTATGCTATAAAAACCCCTAAGAAACATTATATCATATAGAGCTAACAAAAATTACAAAAGGCAAGGTAGATGGAAACATATGGCTTAATAGAATTGAATGATGGATTGTTATAAGATGTATAAGAGCCCCCCCAATAAAATGATTAATAGGAAAAAATTACAAAAGGAACACCCTGTGAAGATTGAAGAAGGATGCATGCATTGAATTAGGGTGCTGGTGAAGAATACTGAAAGTACTATGGACTGCCAAAATAACAAGCAGATCTGTCTTGGAAGGAATACAGCCGGAATTCTCCATGTAAACTTGGATGATGCTACTTTGTCTCATGTATTTTGGACAAGTTATCAGGAAAGTGAAGCCCCTGATAAAAGACATCACGCTTGGTAAAGTAGAAGGGTAGGGAGAAAAAAGGAGGGCCCTCAAGATTGTTTGACACAGAGTCTACAACAGTGGGCTCAAACATAACAATAATTCTTAGTATGGCACAAAACTGGGAATTGTTTCATTCTGTTCTACATAGGGTCACTATGAGCCAGAACTACTTTCACAGCACCTAACAATAACCCACCAATTGTCTGTCAGTTGGTCATACTGTGGTGGCTCGTGTGTTGCTGTGATGCTAGAATCTATGCCATGGGTATTTCAAATGCCAGCAGGCTCACCCAAAGTGAACAGGTTTCAGTGGAGCCTCCAGACTGAGAACAGACAACAAAGGAGGACGTGGCTCTCCACTTTAGAAGACGCCACTGACAACATCATGCATAGTGTAGACGCATTTTCAGTTACTGAAAGCCTAAACAAAGGAAGCAGAACATTGCTGAAGATACTGCCAGCACATGGGCCCCTCAAGTCTGAGGGCACTCAAAATGTGACTGTAGAAGAGATGATTCCTTGGAGGTGAGTGGACCGTGGTGACATAAGTCTGGTAAAGCCTCTGCGAGTGGAGCCTTCAGGATCTTCATTTGCTGATGGGGCATGACTCAAGGTAAAGAGAAACAGCTTCAAAGTATGAATTTGGGAAAATTGGAAGT